TCTTTCCCAGTGATGGTATATATTTTCTATGGTGGCTTCGTGTGGATATAGCAGAAGAAAATCTCTCCATTCCTCGAAAGTTATAATTCCATTGTTGTCCTTGTCAACATGCTCCACAAAGCGAGCAAGCTCCTCATCATTGATCTCAATTCCTGCAAAACATAAACTGCCATGGCTTATAAGACGAAAACAGAGTAAGAACACAGAAGTTAAGCTAGAAAACGTTTTCTATCTCATGGGTATCGGTCTGATACAAAACCCGCGAAGGGGGAGCAAAGCTTAGTGTCAAATTCGCAGAAGTGCTGGTGTCGATCTAAGACCACTACTTTCCCTAACTTTCACCTTCATCATTTCTTCTCGAAGATTTGAGTACTAAAGGTCTATAAACATTTCCCCATCCTGAGAATTCGAACCATACATCAAAGTAGAATCTTCATGGTGTCTGTGGATAACTTACTCCAAACATCATGCTTAAGACAACTTAAGATTCTAAGAAATGCTCAAACAGATAGAACCAAATCATGGACTTCGAATTGAAATAACATAGAAACCATACTGTCTTAAGCTATTATATACGAACTGAGCACAAGAATCATCAATAATTTTGAGCTTTCGAGCAGATAAATCATGTTATACCGGCCTTAACGAGTGCATCCCAGAGACCCTCCGGCGAAATGCAGCCATTGTGTTCAACATCAATGGCTTGGAATATTCTGTAAAGCTCAAGCTCCTTGTCGTCCATATACCGACGGAATTCGTGATAATCCACACGCCCATCTCTGTTTGCATCACAAACCCTAAACAGATCCTTCGCGTACTTGTACCCGCTCGGGATTTGAAGCGCAGATAGACCCTTCTCGATGTGGCCACAATCCAAGTAGCCGACGTTATCAGAATCAAAGAAATCGAACAGGCTTCGGATTCTGACATCTCGTTCCTCTCTTGTCTCACGCAAGGCAAGAAGAACATGGTCCATGGAAACGGGTCCGGGTTTCTTCGCCGGGTTGGAGCAGCCATGTTTGGATTTCGCAGCTTCCATTTTCGTAGGTAAACCCACGTGCCCTACACCATGACCCGACATGACAGAATCGGAAGGAACCCAGATGAAAAGGGATCAGATTGTGTTCTGGGCTCGGGTCATCATGGTTTCTGGGTTCAGATCACATCTCATCCTCAGATCTACGGGCACGTGAATGAATGAGATCGACAACAGAACCCGGCATTTAAAGGGCAATTTGACCCGAAATGATGGAGGAAATTTTGAAATCTCCTCTCGGATTCAAACCGATCAAAGGGGTGGAGAAATGATAAATTCTGAGGATCGGATCAAACGGAAAAGAGAATTAGGGTTCTTCCCGGGTTCGGAAACGATGGAAACAAGAATCGAAGCAAAAAAAAAAAAAGGAACCCGTGAAATTGCCGCTGGAAAGATTCGAACTTTAAATTAAGAAGACAATGGGGATTAATGCTGATGCTGATTCTGACGCTTTTTGCTTCGCCAATGAAGTTGAAGATGGAAGAGGAAGAGAGGAATGGGCAAATGCAAACGCAATGGCAATGGTGGATCATCGATATTCCAATTCTCAAGGGATATTCATCGAATTTATATGGTTTAATTGATCATGTTCTGGATTTTGCTTTTGGTGATGTGAATTGAGAGCGTTGCTCGGTCCAAAGAGATCAGATTTTTTTTTTTTGTTCTTTGAGACGTCTAGGATGGGCAAAAAATAGATAATATTTATAAAATGTGGCGTTTGAATAAAGTCTTTTTTTTTCGCATTAAAAATAAAGTTTTAAAATTTCTTTCAAAATATTAGATTCTTTAGATAATTTCGTATTTCCGAATTTTTAAAATATAAATATAAGAACGTAAAATCGATTTTTTTCATATAATTCATATGGACAAAAAATGATCTAAATTATATTACGGTACAATAATTTTGAAAGGCAAAATTTTAGATTTTTTTCTTTTATTGTTTTAAATGAATAAAAAATGATAAAGCTTTGAAAAATATAATTCCATTTAAAGACGATTTCAATTTATAGAATTGGACTTAGATCTTCAGTGTTTTACCTAATTCAATATTAAAACTAGAAATTGAAGTTAAATAGACTGCATGTCTAATCATTTTTAACATTCTCCCATTTGTTGTAAATTGGTGCAATGTAGGGTTATGATTTGAGAATTAACAATGTGTCTAAATATTCATTTAAACTTCTGAAGATTAGTGGCTAGGTTCATGTCTTTGTTTTGTGTGTTTGTGTATATATATATATATATATTAGTTTATTACATATACCAGTCCCTCTCTTGAATATATATATATATATATATATATATATATTATCCAATAGTCAAACCTATATAAATCGAGTAAAATATAATTGTAATCGAATCGGATTTAAAAAAAATGAATGATTATGACTTTTAAAATCAGAAAAAATCGATGGTGAACCGAATCAAATTAAAAAATTAAAAAATCGATTTTTTTTTAAAAATTTATTAATAAAAACCGAATTCAAAATTAATATACAAATCGAATATTTATAATTTTTTATAACTAAAATAATTAAATTCGAAGGAAAACCCGAAATGTTCGTCCTCTATTCTATGTATATAAAAAGATGCAATTCCCTATTTAGACATCCTGTTGTGTGTGAACTTATAAACATCACCCAAAAAAGAGGGTTGCCAACTTACAAAAAAAAGAAAAAAAAACTATTGATTTGTTAAAGTTTACATTGCCATTTGTAGTTATGAGAAAATAAAATAAAAAAAGAATAAAAAGACTGAATGAAAATTTCCGCCGAAGACAAGAAACAGGAGAACCGAAGATCGACGTGGCGGACAACCTCGCCACTGGTTTCGAAGCGAAATTCGCCGACCGTCAGATCCGTTTCTGCATTATCCGCTTCTTTCTTCTAGAAGAGCTCTGTTTTGACGACTTCGTTCGATCCCCAAACAGGGCTGATGCTAATTATGGAGGGTTTTGATTGAATCGTCTTCTCTTATGGGTTCCGGGTCGGATTCGAGTTCGGGTTCGGAGTCTAGCTCGACCGGCTGGAGCCGGGGTCATGGCATGGTCGTGAAGACGCTCGTCCTCATCGGCGGCGGTCTTCTCTTGAAGCGTCTCACCAAATCCGCCACTCGTTGGGACCACGCTCGCGTCGTGGCTCGCTCCCTCAGCGGCGAGAAGGTTTTGTTTTTGGCCCTATCATCCAACTTCGTTCCCGATTTTTCGCATTCTGAATTATGAAATTTCGATTTGGGTTTTTGATTCCGATGTGGATTCCTTCTTGGGCGTCGACGTTTCTGTGAAATCTGGATAAAAGTTTCGACCTTTTGAGACGAGTTTTTGTTATCTCTGGTGTTTAGTTTTCGACAGAGCAAGCAGCCAGAGATCCTGATCATTACTTCAACATAAGGTTCTTCTTCTTCTTCACTGTTTGAACGTATGAATCTTACAGTAAACCGTCTCCCCAAATCCGCCACTCGTTGGGACCACGCTCGCGTCGTGGCTCGCTCCCTCAGCGGCGAGAAGGTTTTGTTTTTGGCCCTATCATCCAACTTCGTTCCCGATTTTTCGCATTCTGAATTATGAAATTTCGATTTGGGTTTTTGATTCCGATGTGGATTCCTTCTTGGGCGTCGACGTTTCTGTGAAATCTGGATAAAAGTTTCGACCTTTTGAGACGAGTTTTTGTTATCTCTGGTGTTTAGTTTTCGACAGAGCAAGCAGCCAGAGATCCTGATCATTACTTCAACATAAGGTTCTTCTTCTTCTTCACTGTTTGAACGTATGAATCTTACAGTAAACCAGGTTTTGAACTTGTTAAACTCGAGTTCTTGTTTGGAATTTGTATCTTAGTTCCTGAGATATGGTAATGCAATGATTTGGTTCCACAATTTTCAAGTTATCAGTATGGTTCTTCTTTGGGATCTATGAGAGGCTCTTTTTCATGTGTTTCCTCATCTCTCTTTGAGTAAATGAAGGTTCAAAAAGAAAATGCGCTTTAAACTTTCCAGAATTTTGTGCAGAATGCTAACCTGCCCGGCAGCTGAGATGGCTGATGGTTCAAAGATTCTATATTTCGGACAGGTTGCCTTAAGCTTCTTTCTGTTGTTTTTCCTTAATTATATGGTCTTTCTCAATGTGTTAAGCCATTGCCATTTTCTCTGCAGGCGTTCTGGAGATCTCCCGAAAAGCCCTTTCGCCAAGTATGTGATTTGATTTTCCTTTTTGCCCGTTTGGTTCCTTTCCTTCCTGACCCGAGCCAATTCCTGCAAAGGTTTTCATTTATGCTTTTATCATGTCTCTGTTTTTGTGTTGTAGAGATTATATATGGTAAAGCCTTGTCCAAAGGAACTGAAATGCGATGTCGAGGTGAGTGCAAGTTGTGATCTTGTTATGTTATACTATGATAAACATTAGTTTCAAAAAGTTTGTGATCTTTGATCCGATTTTACAGGTTAGTTCTTATGCCATTAGAGATGCAGATGAGTATAAAAATTTCTGCGACCGTTCAAAGGATCAACGCCCACTTCCCGAAGAAGTTATCGGTGTAAGTCTCTCTTGAAAACTCGCAGCTTCCGTCTGCACATGCCGTAGCAAAATGCCCCAAGGTCTCATTCCTTATTCTCAATTAGGGAACAATGTACAATGTTATTAGGCACTTAAAATTGTATTAGATAATCTTGTATAGTTTTTATAACAAAATCGGTTAAAAATTACAGTTTTATGATCTTTTTGCTTAAAGAAAGCTTGTTAAACTCCCATTTCTTATTTTGGAGTGGTAAACTTCTTATTCTAACCATTGTTTTCATGCTATTTTATTAGACTCTGGTCTGAACAACAATGGTTACATGAAATCACAGGACATGGGTGAACATTTGACAACAATGTACCTCAGCTTCTGCGACCGTGGAAAAAGATGTTTGTATGAAGGCTCTACTCCACCAGGCGGGTTCCCAAATTCATGGGTATGTTCTATGAAACGTGACAAATTGATTCACGTTCTTGAGTTACTGGACAGACATTTGCTGTATCTGATTGCTTTCTTTTCTGTCTGAAATGGAAGAACGGTGCTAGCTATTGTACTTCTGATCTCACTGTCCTAAAGAACAATGAAATTCACATCTGGGATCGCGGCTACGATGATGATGGAATCCAGGTTCACCCTCTCTCTCTCTCTCTCTCTCTCTCTCTCTCTCCCTCTCTGTAACCAACTCTGATCTGGTTTTGGTTTCTTGGTGTATTCAGGTATGGGGGCCAAAGGATGGTCCGTACGAGTTCAAGTCGGCGCCATCCTCAATGACTTGTTCCGCCCTTTGAACATTCCCCCACCACTTTCCATTGGTAAACCAATACAAGGATCCTTCATCTTGCAAGAACGGTGACTACCCTTTTGTTATATGCTCCTTGTAAGTCCACGAAGAACTTGCCTTTATACTACAATTACAGCATCTTTATATAGAAAGCTTGGAACTTTTATTCATTACGGTGGAAAAATAGAGCGGAACATGAATTTAAATGCAATGAAATATCAGATTACAAAAACCAAATTGTAGCTTGAGTTAGAATCACATGGAGTTGTTGACGTAGAAATACAATGCCGCCAGAGCCACAGCTCCAACCCCGATCGCTATAGGCAATGCCTTCCTGCAAGATTATATTATATAGACATGCATTTCCAGATGAATCTTCTGCATTATAAATTCACATGGAAGAATGATTAGCCATTAACTCATGAAAGATGTGAACTAACCCGACAGCTTCGTCTCTCTGAAGCTCAGCCTTTCTGGCCTTTCGGACGTCTGTGCTGTTTGCGTTCTTGGCCACAGACGGCATGTAGGCTCTGAACCGCCGCTTAGGAGCACCACACACTGCCATTGTTACCACATTAACAAAAAGCTTGCTTTTGTTTTTATTTAATTATTTTGTCTTTTGTTTGCTGAATCGATGTTTATATAAACATCCGGTCGTGAATGAGTATGTTAAAGCTCCATCACTCAAGAACCCATTATCAGATCCAAATTCACAAAAAAGATTAGGCCTCTACAGATATCAAATCTTCTTCTGCGTAAACAGAGTCTAAGCTATATAGATTTCATTGACATTCATTCACCAATGGATGTAATCAGCATTACGACAAACATCATATATCAAGATGATGGATTACGACAAACGATGTACCTGGGCAGAAGTACTTGTCAGGCAGTTTCTCGAACGGAGTTCTGTCGTTGTAAATATACCTGTCGCCAAAAAGTTGAATGAACTTCAATCTAATCGACAATTCCAAGTGGTCTAAGCGAAACCCAGATCGCAGAATCGAAGAACGAGAAATAAAACGAAGAGAAAAAAGAGACCCGCAATCACGGCAGATGTAGGCTTGTTTGGAGGCGGCACGCATGAACACTCTAGGAGAAGAAGACACGACAGGCTTCTTCTTCTGGTCGGGAAGGCTGAGAGAATACGACGGCAAGAATGAAGATTTCAGGACAAAAGAATTGGAGGGTCGCCGGAGCAAGGCGTCGTTAAGAGGCGGAGACAAAATCGCCGATGGAATTCCGGCGTGAAGCCTCGCCGACGGCACCTGCATCGCCATCGGAACTGTGTGTATGGGATTCCTGAGGAGTTGAAAACAAAAGAAGAAGAGGAAGTGAGAAGTGATAAGAGAGGAAGAGTGTGGTAAAGAGCCTTCCCTCTCTATCTCTGTCTCTCTTTATTGCCACGTCATCATCTCTCTCTCAAGTCTAATCCTGCCCTTTTTACGTGGATCATTTCTATCTGCATCTTTCAATGTTGCATGCATGATGATGACATATATGCTTCAACGATGTTCTCTATCCTAACCTTCTGTTTTGTCCGGAGTTTTTGCTAGCACAGCTCATTTGGTACAAATTACATTTTGACCTTTTACGTTTGCAAAACCATTCAATTCGGTCCCTAAACTTTTACAATCACACAATAAACCCCCAACCCAGTTTCACCTCCGAAACCGTTTCAATCAACAATGAGAAGATCACCTGGCACCTGCATCATCTTCTGCTCGTCAAGATAAGCATTCGACATTCTGAAACATGTTCCTGTTTATGCAAGATAATAAACAGCTTAATTAGTAACAAACCACACCGACGAATCATCAGATCGAATCTTTAGAAACTTTCGGGCAAAAAATAAGTTTATCAGCCGGTTTCTTGTTAAATTTTCCAATAGGGTAAGCAAAAGATTCCACCTTTCCAGAAATGTAAGAGAGGAAACAGAAGAAATATCATACCTCGTGCTTTTCTTCAGGACTGAGAACTCAAGTGCTGAAGCCTCGTGTCTGAAACCAGTTCTATTCCAGAAATTTTTAACTTGTCTGACCCTTGGAGGAGGTCTCACCAATAATCTCTACAAGAACATGACCCATCTTCAAACCGATGAAAACGTATCAGATCCCGGACTATAACAACTCTGTTCAATAGTTTCGAGACTGATTTTATCCAACTGTGGCAGTCACAGCATATCCGTAGGTTTTTATGGATTCTAACATTGGATCCCGGGCTACTCTTCAAGATCCCGTAAGCCAATGCGATCTTTTCGCTGTGGTATCTCAGATTCTCCTCTTTCTCCTCTTCCGACACATCCATCAACACTAGATCCGTATCAGGCACAAAGCCTTCCAGCTTCGTTTTCTGGATCAACCCTTCTAACACTCTGTATATAGCTTTCATTTCTGGATGAGATGAATCTCCTGCCTTGAACCGATGAATCGCCCCTCCTAATTCCACCCAACTCTTCCCTTTAGTTTTACGAACTCCTTTATTCTTCATCAACTCCCGAACCTTTTCAGCGCTCTCCCATCTCTTCGTAGAGCTGTAGATATTCGAAAGCAATACATAATCCCCACTTCTCAGCCGTGAAATATTATTTACCGCGATTTCCCCGAGCTCAGAGTTCTTGTAAGTTCTAGAAGAACTAAGAAGGGACCTCCATATCACTATATCTGGTTCAACCGGCATTGACGCTATCATATCATAAGCATCTTGTAACATTCCTGCCCGGCAAAGCAGATCAACCATGGCCCCATAATGCTCTAGCTTTGGCTGTATCAGATATCGACGGCTCATCAAATCGAAATCCTCTTTCCCCTCTTTGAGCAAACCACAATGGCTACATGCTGTATAAAGTCCGAGAAATGTGATGGAATCTGGTGAAACATTTTCCACCGCCATCTCTGAAAACACTGTGACTGCATCTGAAGCAAGCCCATGAGTTGCTAACCCATTAATCATCGAATTCCAGATCGAGACATCGTTTCGTTGGACGCTATTGAAAATTTCCTTGGAAGCTTCTATATCTCCGCACTTTGCATACACGTCAACAAGGGCGGAACTCAATATCGGGTTAAGTTCAATCCCCGCATCAATCATTATACGATGCACCCACTTTGCATGATGTAAATCTCCAAGACGAGCACACGATGCCAGAGCAGAAGCAAAAGTGAATTTATCCGGTTTGAGATCTGAGCTAAACATCTTCCTGAAAATTCTCAACGCATCTTCATACTGGCAATTCTTAACGTTACCGCTAATCATTAAGTTCCAAGACAGCAAATCTCGATCAGTCATTTTACGGAATACCTTCCTGGCCATACCATACTCTCCGACTTTCATAAGATTTTCAATAAGCAGGTTTGTGTTAACCAGACCAGGCGCACGCAAGAGGAACCGTAGGAGAAGCCGACGCTCCGAGTATGAAAGGTTGCATTGTCGGTAAGCTGACACCATAGAAGCAACAAGTGACGGATATCTTCCATATCCGAGTTTAACGATCTGTGCATGAGTTTGAAGCACACATTTGGGGTTTGACGAGATTTTGCAGGACCCGAGAATTTGGTTCAACATCCGATGATCTAAAACAGTTTGGAAAATCAGTAAGCAAGCAATTCCACAGATATGGAACCCGAATCAAAGAGGCAATAATGGCCTAATCTTCTAATTAATCCATTTCGGATGAAATATGGAGTTCAACTACGGGGAATGAATATTTGCAGAAGGGCAAAAACATTATAATTCTTTTTCGAATTCCAGATAGGGATTTATGGGCAGTCTTCCCAAAACCAACGGCTCAGGAGAAACCCTAAACCCCCAAATAATTGCCGAAACCCTAAGAATTCCGACAGTGCCTGAACGGAAAATCAATCAGAGAGAAAAGAAACAAAGCTTGTGGGCTCTTACCAGCGACATTAACATGGATTGAAACGGGAGAAGAAGAGACGGAAGTGACGGAGAATCTTCGGATTCTGGGGCCGGAAATGGAGATTCTCTGCATTTCTTAAACCCTATAAACCCTCCTTCCTCAACCGAGGAAGGTCGAGCGCTGTAAATTGAATCTGGACAAAAATAAAAAGATACATAAATAAATAGGGACCGAGTTACATATGTACGAGACACTTGTCACAATGAATTTATAATATAATTATATTTAATTAAAGTTTTAAAATTTAATAAATTATAATATAATTATATTTAATAACAAGAATTTTAAGACTTTGTATCAAGGAATTATGATGTAAAATCATATCACATATGCTTATCAGCCACGAGAGAGAGATTGATAAAAAGAGAAAATAAACCTTTTTTTTTTGCCGGCGGCAGCCGGAGGAACACAAAAACCTCCGGAGCCTTTCCCCTCCCAAAAGGGCAGGAAGAATGATACAACAATGTTCCGACCGATCCAAGATACACAACATAAACATAAACCATGGTAAGAGAATTTTGCAAAAAGAAAAAAAAAACCCGATATGATCAGGATCCGATCCGATCCCATCCGCGGGTTTTTTCCGAGGGCGGAGAAACTTTTCTGTACACCGGAAAACTTTACCATGGGGCATCGGAGTTTTCATGCCAAGAATCGGAAAAAGGAAAAAAGAAGGATGAAAGAAAGAGTTGTAATAACCGAGTTTTCATGGAAAACGCCTCCAGAATTGTACAACACAACTGAGGTTGATGATGACGATGATGCCTGAGAAGCTCACTTCACGTCTTCTCTTCCTCCCTTGATAATTATATATATATATAGATATACATATATATATGTGCAGATAAGGGTTTCGTCTACGGTTAGTAGTTGTTGTTGTCGCTGAGTTAAGAGTGAAAAGAAGAGCTGCCATGGCTGTAGTAGCTGTCCTCGTTAACGCTACGTGATGCCGACTTGCATGGCCTTGCACGTACTACGTTATTACCCATCGGAAACGGTTCCTGCATTTATACATACATACATATATATATATACACACCAAGAAACGATTGTTTGCTTTATATATAAACAAAAAAAGGGGGGGATGGAGATAAAGAAAAAAAAAAGTGAAATTGTGGTGGGTACCAACCTGATCACCGGCATTAGGACCATGGGTGTGGAAGAGAATAGGGCGGCACCTCTTGTCTTCGTTCATTAAGCTCGAGTTCTGAAAATGCGCAATCAGAGCTGCTTTTCCCTGAATCCTCGCGTACGCGATTGAAGCTACCTTCTCGCTGTTGAATTTCTCCCACTTCTTCCCATCAAATGCCTTCCACACAAAAAACAAAAGATTAATTCGAAAGTCAGCTTCATCATAGATTGGCACCAAAAAGGGGATTTCAGATGTTCATCACTGGCTTCATACCTTATGGAATGGAATAATGTTCTTAGGATCGGTCATGTTGATGAAAGCATACCCCACATTGCATTTATTCTGCAACAAAGGAAAGAGGATGGTGTAAAACCATGAAATCATAAGTTCCTTTACAATGCCAGGCTTCCAGGTTCTGACATATACACTTCATGTGCCTACCTTGAAGTCAATTGGGAGATAGATGAAATCATAAGTTCCTTTGCAATGCTCGTCTATTGCAGCAAGAAGCATCTTAGATGTATACCTTAAAAACAAACCATAACCCATATATGTAATCAGGACAGAGAACAAAAGGGAAAAGTTTCGAAAAACAAGACTGGAAAAATTATGACTTACTTATTGGGTATGTTCTTTACCATCAACGTCGTTCTGCTGTCTTCCCCTTGCAGTATACGGTCAAGGTCAAGTTCAAACTGTTTCTTGTCACCATTGTTAGAGCTCAGATCATTTCTCCGGTGAGAGAAACTCCTGCCCCGTTCCATGGGAGGAGATTCGAAAGAAGATATCAGTGAATTCCTTCCTGGAAAGAGATGAGGAGACCATGGTCCGACATTCATGGGAGACATAGACATGTCCATGCGATTTCCAGCGACACGAGCAAAGGCATTATGAGAGGAAATGTCCATGGGATGGGATGGAGATTCCGCAGAATCTGCTAAGTAAGCATGTCTTCTATCCCATTGAGTGGGTTTTATTGTGGGTGCTGATCCAATGTGGTGATGCACATGAGAAGCTAGCTTGACAAGAATAGGTGGTTGCCTGGGAAATGCAGCAACGGGCTGAAAGCGATGAGCATGAACACCGTTGATGCCAGAAGGGGAATGAGGCCATATCACATGATTCATTACGGGCTGTGAATTGTTATTCCAAATGCGATGATTTACGTGAACACTCTGCCCATTTCCCAGTGATCCCAAACCTAAAATGGAAACAATTTTTATTAGCAAAATCAGTTACGAGTTGTCGAACTCTTTGCTATACCAAATTTCAATCATTATACACTACAAAAGTTTCGGCAGTTTAAATAATATAAACTTACTGCCTGGGCTCGTTCCAACAGGATGTCCATTAGAGGCTGCAGAACCAGTACAACCAGCAGTATTATTAAATCCTCCATTCAGTTTCACACCATTTCCGACCACTTCCATAGAATTCGTCGAAGCTTTATATGTATTACCAATGGCGAAGCCTTCATGGTATTCAGGAAAGGAGTGAGGATGGATGTTTGGAATAGCTTGGTTACCCGAACCATTCAAAGACCGGTGGAGCTCCTGAACACCACCAGTTGGTTCGTCGAAGGGCATCATCCCTGCTGAGGGCGAGCTAATATGAACACCAGAACTCTGATGACGTTCAGCAAATGAGTTCAACGGTGACCGAGCTGGGTTATGGAAGGAAACATTTGCTGAAAATGGCGTTTATTAAGAGATCAGAAAATGACGTTAGATATGTAAATACGTAATCACAAGAGAAGTTATTATCGACACCAAAACATACCCATATGAGCAAGTGCTAGATTTTCAAAATCATCCCCTTGATTGCCTCGCACAAGCTTAATCTGCTTGCCAGCAACATCAGTCCCATTCAAAGAATAGAATGCAGCTTCAGCAGATCTAATATCATAGAATTCTATGAACTTCTTCAGTGCAGTTTCATAAATCTGCAAATAACCGACAATAAATACAATTATACTAGGTTGGAATGAGAAGGTAGAAGAAAGGGATAATTTAACAGGTAGTCACCTCCTTAACTTCTCCAAAAACCTCAAAAAATTGGAGAAGTTTGTCATTTGACAGAGAAGAATCTAGGTTGGAAACTGCCAAGGTGGCTTGGTTAATATCTTCTTCGGACAGATTCTCCTAAGCATTGTGAAGGAAAAAACACTTGAAAAAGTTAATATTAGGTATATGGTTTAATTCAATTTGGTGCAAAACAGTTCACTAGCAACACGTTTTAAAGTATCAAGTGAGAATGAATGATTAAAAAAACTGACAAGTGACAGAAAAAGAAAAGAGAAAAAAAAAAGAAATGAGTTATATATATAATATGGCAAAGTATAATGAAAACAAATGGAAAACAGGGATCAGAAATGCAGTGCCTGTTTCCGTACCTTTTGAGCAGCATAATGAATATCAAGGTTATGTCGTCCAAAGCGCTTCCATTGAAGCGATCTCATTGCATTTTGCGCAGCTCTTATATCGTAATAAGAAATCATAACCAATCCATGATGCTTGCAGGCTGAATAAAAAGTGTGGATACCTCCAAATTGCTGAAAGAAGAGCAATATAAATGTTCAAGGACAAAACACAGGCCATGAAGAAAAACACAAAAGGATACACACCTCAAAAACGGGCTTCAGCTCAAAATCCTCAATACTGCCATCAATATTCCGGACAACAAGTGTTCTAGAAGGACGTTTGCTCTGAGGGTGATCACCAATATGAAAACCATTTAAGCCCCTGCCTCTTTTAAGCTCATCCCCTTCTAGTTCCAAGCCACCACCACTGCTAAACAAGTCAAAATCTTCAAAGTCATCCCCACTACTTGCACGAGAATTATTTCTTTCTTCACCAATTGCGCAAGAAAATAGATCATCTTCATCAGGAAGTAGATTTCCAATAGTTTGCGCCTCAATTTCTTCGAGAGATTCAAAAGGTTCCGCATCCTCATTTTCAGAAGCAACTCGATTGCCAGGATCCAGAGGCAAGATATCATTTTGTGACAGTCTCACTGCATCACATTAAACATAGTCAGGCAATCTGTCATAGGAACAAAAGGAAGAGATTATCGAGAGTCAAGAACATCGCTGTGAGATGTAAAATCATATTACCTAATGAGAAATTTTCCCTTTTCAATGTGAAAACAAAGACAATTTGAGAGAGAAAACGGTAAAGAGACTAGGAAAGATTTATAGTACTTTGATAAATCAGAGACACAGAAATCTTACATTTTCTACTAAATAATTCAGATAGCGAGCTTGAAAAAAGGCTGCTTTCATAACCAATGCCATGAACATCAGTCTCTCCTTTCATACCACGACTCGCTGACTGGAGGTACAAATTTGACCATGTGTTTGGTTGGAGATCCATAGATGCCCATGAATTCCGAGGCAAATTGAAAAGGCCTCTTTCTTCACTTCTTGGTTTTTTCATCCGTTCTCCAACGAAAGTTGATGGAGACAATCTCATATTATCTTCCACACCTTTAGTTGGCAACTGTTCAGATGATACAGGACCAGCGAACTTACCATTGTTCCCTGAAATCATACCACCATTACCTACACGAGCTAAGTAAGCATGTCTTCTATCCCATTGAGTGGAGATCGGAA